TTTTATCCAAAATGAAATCATCATGTGGACTTCAGATGGAGATAGAATAATATACTCATAAACATACATTATAAAAGACAGGTGAGGGGTTGGGATATTACTACTTAGAGAAGGGTCTGCTGGCCTGTCAAGAAATACAGTAATCTTTTCATACGAAAAGAGCAAAGCTGATCTGTCCAAATACAAGTCAAAAACTATTGCATGTACAAATGTTCACTGCAGCATCATTCACTAGAGCCAAAAAGAGCAAACAAGTCAAATGTCCATCACCTCACAAAGGATAAACAAAATGTGTGTATGCATGCAGTGGAATATTTTTCAGCCATAAAAGGAGTGAAGTACTGACCACATATTATAATGTGAATGAATCTTAAAACATGGTAAGTGAAAGAGGCCAGTTATAAAATGGCTCATATTTTAGGATCCTATTTATTCTAAATGTCCAGAATATGTAAATCCACAGAGACTGAAAGTAGATTAGTGGTTGCCATGAGCTTGGAAGAGAGTAGGGGGGACTATTTATGGGCTCAGGGTTTCTTTTTGGGTTTATGAAAAATGTTCTGGAATTGGGTGATCAATGCACAACTATGTGAATATATTAAGAAATCACTGAATTGTATACTTTAACAGGGTGACTTTATAATATGTGCATTTTATCTCAATAAAGCTGTTACTTTTTAAAAAATGCTTTCTGAAAAGAATAGTATGAGCAGGTTAAAGGGCAAACATCTAACTGGGAAAATAATGAAATAAATACTATTACACAAGACAAAAGTTTAATCTTGACTACATACAAAGATTCCTTACAACACATTAACAACATGTCAAACTCTCCAACAGAAAGAGGAGTAAAGATCATGAAGAGGAAATTTTTTTAAAAAATGGCCAATGAACATAAATAATCAATGACATGAAAAGGGTCAGAGTTGCATACATGAAGACAACAAGGATGCTGTCTTAATTCAGTCCTTTGGGTACAAGCAATGTAGCTGAGATCTACTCAAGCCTGCTTAAATTGAGAAAAGAAACATGTTAACACAGGGATACAAGATAGCTAACAGCCCAGGGGCAGGAAATACAGTTATGACTCACAAGACATTTAAAAATAAAATCATGACACTTCTCTGCTGAAGCCTTCCAAAGGCTTTTTTTCACTACATTTAAAGTTCAAATTCCCCACATGCTTCCTGCATCTTCACACTCTCCTCAAACTAACTCCCCCCCCTGCTGCGCCCCCCCCCTCCACCAGCTCCTTTCATGGTAGTCACACCAAACTCCTGATCCTCAACACAGCGAGCTTTCTTCTTCCCATCCCTTCCCATTCACTGTTCCCCATGCTGAGAAGATCCTCCCCCTCTAATCCCCACAGGCACACTTCCCCAGCTTATATCTTGTCTGGCTCACCTTAACCCTTCTGGTCTTAGCAGAAGGTCACCTCCTCTCAAAGGCCTTCCCTGATCTCCACCCTCTATCACTTACACTACTTATTTCTCTCTCAGTTCTTACCACACTCCACATTTTTCTTTTTTGTGACATCTTCTTCATTCTAATGTTGCAAGAGATCAAGAAACTTGTCTGCCTTGTTCCTCCCACCACTCATTATAGTGTCTGGCATAGAAGACATTAAATAAATATTTGTTACATGAATCAGATATTAGAAAACCATCAGGAACCAAGTTGGCGTCAATGTCAATTTCAGTCTCTCTCGATCTCTCTTTCTCTGGGGCTTTATGACCCCTTATCTGCTTTTCTCCATACATTTCCTTTAATAGAGACTATGTTGCATGTACATCTTAATTTTCAGATTTCTCGAGATTATCTGATTGGTCCAGTGGGGAAGGGTCAGGTCCTCATTTTAGGTAGAAAGTAATCCTTAGCAAACAAGCCTGGGCCACTTCTTCAAAGGTATCCACCACAGATGCGCGATTAAAAATGGCAAATAATTAGAAGTATCTTAATTGGATAAATTTTGGCACATCCATAAAACAGAATACTATCTAATCATTAAAAATGTTGACGCAGATCTAGAATGAATGACATGGGAAGACAGCCGTGCTATATTTAAGTGAAATGTGTGGTCTAACACAGCGTGTATAATAATCATTACTGTAAAAATGGTTCAGAATATTAAATATATATTTAAAAATACATATACAAGTTTGGAAAGACATACAAATAAAAAACTAACCCAAGTAATGAAATTATGGTGACTGTCACACCTTTTTTATATGGTTTCAATGTTTTACAATGGGCATATATTACTTAGTTTTTTGAATTTATAATTTAATTTTTGTCTAAGTAATTCTTGCCTATACTCAGAATATGAAATACTGAAAGACTGTAATGAAAAATCACATACCTATTGTCTGTGTAATACTCCCCATACCAGTCTTATTCCCTAGGAGTAACTAATTTCAACTCTTGGTTTCTTCTGGATAGTTACTGCATTTCTTGAAATATTGTGTTCATTCTATAGATAGAGTATCTTTCCGTTTATCCATTTTAGATTCACCTATTTACTCAGGCTACGGTAGATTAGGATGTAACTCTGAAACTACCCCCAATAACCCCTCCCTCTCCTCTTCTGATATAGATGCATCGCTATTTTTGGTTGAATAAATAATCAGTGCTACACTGTTTGACTTTGTAATTGCTATCTGCTGACTAGCTAAGTACTATATTATGAATACATTTCCTTCCTCGGAGAGCTTTTTCTTTTCCCTAGAGTTCTATCTTTCTTCCCTTCTTCAATGGTTTCCTCTACTTTAAGTTCAATTTTCTTTAATTGCTGCACCATGTTAGATATTACAGCAAGAATCCACCCCACCCCCTCTCCCAGGCTTCCCCCTCAGCATCCTCCACCTTGCGCTCAGTCTGGGCTGGCTGCCCTCTAGGTCTGCTGGCACAGCCTCATCCTCTGTGCCTCCCTTTACTGCTTTTCTGGGCTACAGCCATTGTTTCCTGAATTCCAATGTCTCCCCCTTCTTGCTTTACTCCGTTTACTCCCACCCTCTCCGGCAACAGAGATCCCTTTCATGCCTCAAATCTGACTTCTGCCAGCTGCAGAACGTTCTTTGCTTTTAAGGGCTAATATGATTAGACTGGAACCACATGGATAATCCAGGATAACCCTCTACTTTAAGGTCTGTAACCTTAATTATATCTGAAAAGTCCTTTTTATCACGTAACATAACATATTCACAGGTTCCAGGGATTAGGGCATGGCATTTTGGTGGGGAGGCACTCTGCCTACTACAGTAACGAAACAATTTTTTATGTGAAAACAAATGTGAATATATTATGGAATAAGTACAAAATTCACAATAGTTTTAAGAAAAGAAGGGAGATTCTGAAAGCATTTCTGGTTCACAAAGGGAATATTCTGGGCTCTTTCCCCAGGCTCCCCTGAGGTGTGTGTGCATGAACTCATCTCCCCTTGGGTGCCTCACACACATCGTAATCATGGCATGTTCCAAGCCCAACTCTTGATAGTCCTCCCCAAATAGCTTTTCCTGGTCTTCCTCGTTGATGGAGTTAATGATGACTTTATTCTTCCAGTTGCTCAGGCGCAAAACCTTGGTGACTTCCTGACTTTAATTCCAAGCACTTCTCAGGAGCCTGGTGGGCCATTATCACATAGCATCTGGCCTCCCCTCTCTGCCCTGTGCACCCACAGGAGGTTCTGAATACAGAAGCCAGGCCACCTTTATTAAAACACAAGTATATCCTGTATATTCCTCTGCTCAAAACCCACCAACGACGTCCCATGGCACTCTAGACCTCACTATGCCCTGGTGCTCTGTCTACATGGTCCGGTCTGCAGTGACCACTCTGATTTCATCTCCGGCTCCTCTTCCCCTCACTCACTCCATGCCAGCCACAGAGGCCTCTTCATTCCACAAACAGGCCAGGAACATTCCCACTCAGGACCTTTGCATGTGATATTCTCACTGGAATGCTCGCTCCTTCCATGGCACTCTCGTTTCCTCATTTCTTTTGGATCCTTACTCAGAAGTCAGCCTCTCAGCAAGGCATTCTCTGGCCACTGCAACTGAAATTTCACTTCCTCATCTTCTGCTGCTTATCACTATCTAACTATTGTTTAACCTTTAAAACTTATTTTCTCTCAGCCTTTCATTATGAAAAAGTTAAAACACAAAAGTCGCAAGAATTACACAGCAAACATTCATATACCTGCCACATATACCTATTCTACAATTAACATTTTCTATAGTTGCTTTACCTTGTAACCATCTATTCATTTGATCCATGTTATTTTTCAATGCACATCATCAATAACACTCCCCCTAAATACTTCAGCATGTATATTATTAACTAGAGTTCATTATTTATTCATGGCTCCTTTTTTAAAAAGATAAACTTTACTTAGAGTGAAATGTACAGATCTAAGTGTACATAGATACTCTGACAAATGAATATACCTGTGTAATACAAACACCTACTAAGATACATTGAACACTGCACCACCCTAGCAAGTTGCCTCATCCTCATCCCCAACCTATATCCCACTCCCAATCTAGATCTGATGCTTTCTCCATAGATTAGTTTTGCTTGTACTATAATATCCTATAAATGGAATCACACAGCTCTTTTATATAAGGCTACTTCTAGCTATCAAGCTAACTCAGGCTAAATTTGGCCAAGAAAAACTGGCTAAATATCAATAATTCTCACATCTGTTTTTCCTGCTCAATCTTGTGGACCATGACTTTCTGCTTGAACCTATATTTTTGGAGTGTTAATTTTAAAAAGATTCTGAAAAGCAGTCTTGCTTGACGTTTCCTACTCATTGGTTAGTAAAAAACTGTCCTCGGGCCAAATCCTGTTTAGTAAACAAGGGTTTATTGGAACACGGTCACACCTATGCATTTAGGTATTTTCTATGGGTGGTTTCACATTATAATGGCAGAGGTCTGGTTATGACACAGAATGGCCTCCAAAGTGTAAAATTCTTACTATCTGGCCCTTTGGAGAAATTTTGCAGACCCCTGTTCTAAACTGACACCACAGTTTTAATCACCCATCCTGCATAAAAAGTGACTCAGATATGGCTAATTTGTAAGGGTCTTTTCTTGAGGAGCCAGGATTTGGCATCATTCTACTTCCTTTAAAAAGTATCAAAGATTAATCAACCAACCCAGAATTGGGACTCAAAATCAGGACTCAACACCATACTGAGCTCTGAATAGGTGTAGAATAACTAAGTATTTAGCAGGGAAAAGAGTTAAGTACTGGTAGAATAGACATTTGTTGGCTGTCTCTCCATCCCTCACTTCTGCTCCCAATGTGTTTTCCTCAAGGCAAGCTGATTCCAGGAGAAACTAGACAGGGACTGAGAGACTCTTATCTGCCAACTGATAGTGTGGTGAAAGGAGACAAGGTCTGGGTTGGAGGCAGCCACCATGCCACCAAGAGGGGAGCCTAGAGCTGGAAGTTTGGGACTAGGAGAGGACCAGCCGTGGTAAAGCTGACTTTACATCACTTCCTAGGGTAGTCACAGTGAGCTCTCTGGTTCGAGATTTGCATGCAACTAGCACTGCCTATTGAGCCTGGTTGAGTTGGAGTCATTTCCAATCAAAAAATTGTTATGAAAGAGCAAGTATTTATATTATTGAATGACCACTGAGTATTACAGCATAGTTGCTGCTCTTAAACCAGGAATACTAGTGACTTTTGTCCAGTCTCCGCCCCCCCCCCCCCGCACCCCCAAGAATTCTGAAGCAAATGAGAGAAGCGGCCATAATTGAAGGAAGGATGGAGATGGAGAGAGCCAACCAACAGACTCAGGTTGTTGGAAAATCATGATACTAAGGAACCACCAGGGATTGAAAAGACTGGCTTTAACATCTTGATTACCAGAAAATAACTGCATTATATATCTGAATTCACATGTTTGATTGTCTGATCATGTAAGTCGGGTATACGTGCATGAAGTGTTACGAAACACTGGTTTTCAACCAGTGGCAATTTTGCCTTCCAGGGGTCATTTGAAAATGTTTAGAATCATTTTTGGTTGTCACAACTGGGAAAGTGCTAACATCTAGTGGGAAGAAGCCAGGAAGATGCAAAACTTACAATGCATAGGACAACACCTTCCCCGCCTAAAGAATTATCCCGCCCAAGATGTCAGTAACACTCGTGGTGAAAACCCTGGTCTAAGATTGTATGTCACACTGTCCATAGTTTTCTTTGAAGAGTGGAGGACAATTATCATTTATACTTTTGTACTGTTTGTGGGTTTTTGCAGTGAACATACTCCAGTTTCAAAAACACTTCCATAAATAAAGGTTCTGAAGTGTTGAGATAAAATCAATCTCTGTGGCTTTTCACATTGGTTCTAGACTTGGGGGGAAATTCTGAAAGCAGCTAACAAGACTCACTGCATCTTCTGTTCAGCAGACTAGTCTTCGTTCTTTTGAGTGCTCTTCATAGGAATAGTTTAAAGTCACTTTATTAACCTGATTGCCGTATCTCAAACTCTAATTCACTCTGATCAGTGAGAGTAGAATGATCACCTCTCTCATTCTACATGCAATAGCTCACATTCAGCTTATTAAAACACCCAGTTTTTCCACACACACTGCAGATTTGTATTTGCCCGTCCTATACTTTTATATTGCCTTTTAAGTCTAAACACAAGAAACGGAGAGGCCTGATTAGCTCTCCTTACTACCCTAAGGAGTGTACCATTCTAGTGCCTGGAATACAGTTACCATTTTGAGTTACATTATACCCAGAAGCAGACATTCTCCCCACCTGGTTTGCATGCTGGGTTACTTAAATTCTGTCAATGATACACTTAAAAATCACCTAACCCCCGGCCAGGTGGCTCAGTTGGTGGGAGCGTGGTCCCATACACAAAAAAATTTCCGGTTTGGATCCCCCGTAGGGTACATACCTAAGATGTAGTTTGATCCCGGGTGGGATGGGGCACGTACTGGAGGCAACCAATCGGTTTTTCTCTCACATCGATATTTCTCTCCTCCCCTCTCCTTTCTCTAAAATCAATAAAAATATATCCTTGGGTTAAGGATTAAAAAACAGTTTTTTAAATCACCTTACAGGGTTAGCTATTTTAGATCTTTATTCATTTCACTCAATTCAACATCCACTGAATGCTTGGATACTGTACTCATCAATGAGATCCACAAAACAAAGAAGTGAACTGCCCAGAGGACGTTACGGCTTACAGCAATTTGCTGGGGTTACCTTCCTGAAGGAACACTCACTGATTTCAACCTACAGACCATACAGAAAGTCTGGGTGTCACTTATTCCCCTACTCTCTCCATTCTTTGCAAGCTAAGTGCACAGTAATGTTCAATGCATGAGTGCACCATACCCTCACTACTACCTAAGCTATCCCTGCAGCAAACACCTGTAGTAAGGCTTTACTCCTTGCATCGCTGAAAATAGCGAACGGTAAACTCTCAAACGTACCCGTCAAACAAAAGCAGGTTCACGGAGGCAGCAAGCACACACGGAAGGGTAAAATAGTTCTTTACCCTTATCTAAGAGATTACAGAAACAGAATAGAGGATTCAAGGATGCACAGTGGAGATGAAGAAATGGTGAGGACGAAATTAAATTCCAAAACAGTAAAAATCGTATTTTCCCCACCAACGCCAGCACACTCCCTCGTCGTTTCCACCGCAACAGGCAAAATGCTCCCGCACAAAAGACCGCAGGCGGCTCTCACGTGCAGAAGCCCCCGCAGCCACCCCGCGGAGCGGTCTCTGCCCCGCCACGCCCCCGCACGGCCCCACTCGCGCCTCGGCCGCCAGCCAGCGGGGAAGCGCCCGGAGGCCTCCGCTCCGACGCGGCTTAGAGACCGGGGAGGCAGGTGGGCGGAGAGCGAGCCTCTCCCGACCTCGCAAGCCCAATCCCCGGAGAAAGCGGGCGATCGGTAACCCCGGGCTCCGAACGGAGCCCCCGAGGGTCCCGGGACGGGGCCCAGGCAGGCTCGGTGGGCCGCCCCCAGCCCCCCGCCCCCTCCAGAAGCCGTTAGCGCCGCGGCCCCACCCCTCGCGCCCGGCCGCGCCCGGCGTCCCACTCGCCCCAAGCCTCCACGCCGGCCGATCGCGGCCCGAGGCATCTGCTCGCTGTGGGTGGGCCGGGCTGGCAGCCACGTCCGAGAGATCGAGGAGCCGGGCTCCCGTACAAAGCACTTTCCTCCGCCCGGCCGTGTTCTGCCGGTGATGGGCCGC